CTTATAGTTAATTTATTATTTGTAGATGCCTTAGATACATGGAAAAATAGATTTGGAATGGCTTGTTCCAAGAGAATTAATAAGCTTTATGTGCTAAAAGAAATGTCTGATCAGATGAAATTAGCAGGTAGAGAGACATGAGAGAGAGCACTGACTGGTCTCATGGTTTAGCTTGACCATATTCATTACTGAATTTAAAAATCCCTTCCTGAATATTCTCTTCACTCAGGGCTACTGAGTCAGTTCAAATCCAGATGTTATAGGATCCCATTTAATTTCTCATCTTCGCTCAATAACCTCTAGGCAGATGAACCAGATTTTTGGGTCATGTGACTCAATAGGCTGGATTTAAGAATCCATACAATCCAGGCCTCTTGAAGCTGCTGATGGGACCAGTTCCTCTATGGTTTATAGCAATGCATTCATGGCCTCTAGACAGTCAACTAGATAGTCTACAATATTGCTTTTAGTGCCTTATGCATTCCCAAAGCTCATCATTTCCATAGGAATTTCTTACCTTGTTATGCAGATCACTACACTTCATCTTCTCAGGCTTTCATCTTTTTTTTTTTGCATGTTAGGAACACATTTTATTTTTTTTATTGCCATTTTTGTTATTATTAACATATAATGTATTATTTGTTTCAAGGGTACAGGTCTGTGATTCATCAGTCTTACACAATACACAGCGCTCACCACAACACATACCCTCCCCAGTGTCCATCACCCAGCCACCCCATCCCTCCCACCCCCCTCCACTCCAGCAACCCTGTTTGTTTCCTGAGATTAATAGTCTCTTGTGGTTTGTCTCTCTCTCTGGTTTCATCTTGTTTCATTTTTTCCTCTCTGCCCCTATGATCCTCTGCCTTGTTTCTCAAATTCCACATATCAGTGAGATTATATGATAATTGTTTTTCTCTGATTGACTTATTTCGCTTAGCATAATACCCTCTAATTCCATCCACGTTTTGATGGCTGCATAATATTCCATCGTGTGTGTGTGTGTGTGTGTGTGTGTGTGTGTGTGTGTGTGTGTACACCAAATCTTCTTTATCCATTCATCTGTTGATGGACATCTGGGCTCTTTCCATAGTTTGGCTATTGTGGACATTGCTGTTATAAACATTGGGGTGCACCTGTCCCTTCGGATCACTACATTTGTATCTTTGGAGTAAATACCCAGTAGTGCAATTGCTGGGTCATAGGGTAGCTCTATTCTTAACATCTTGAGGAACCTCCATACTATTTTCCAGAGTGGCTGTACCAGCTTGCATTCCCACCAACAGTGTAAGAGGGGTCCTCGCCCAGGCTTTCATCTTTCCAGCTAAGTGACCCTGATCCCTTTTTCTCCCTATAGGACAATTATCCTCCAGGGCATGATGACATGCATAGGCTATGTGTTGGCTCAAAATTCCTACAGAGACCAAATATTTGACACTCTTTTCCTTTTAAGACCTTCTTACATATGGAAATAAAGGAATATTCATATTTTGATAATTCTACAGAATAGCATGTCTACAAAAGTGTAAGTTCAGCTCAAAATACCTTGGGCTCCAATAAGACGTAGTAAATCTTCAGAATATATTTCATCTTCCTCTGAATTCATAACACCATTCTATGCTGCAAATGCTTCACTGCACTTGTCATCTTTTCTCCTCTCTCACAGATATTTTGTTTTCTTCTCTTTTTTTTTTTTTGTCTAGACTGAAAATTCTTAACGTCTATATCATACTCAAATCTGTACCCCAACAGCACCTGGATTTAAGAAAACTGGTTTGGGAATGAATACATAATTAAATAATGAGCGAATGACTACATGCATAGGTAACCTGATTGTTTTGAGTGTATTAACTGACCAGTTTGGGCAAACTTCCAAGTTATTAGTTGTCTTAGCTCAGACTACCATAACAAAATACTGTGGATTGTGTGGTTTAAACAAAATGTATTTTCTCACATTTCTGGAGGCTGGAGAGTCCCAGATCAACTGCAGGCAGATTCAGTTTCTGAGGAGAGCTATCTTCCTGGCTTTTAGACAGTTAACCTCTTCACCAGTCCTACTGGATCAGGGGCCCACACTTACAACCTCAATTAACTTTAATTACGTCTTAGAGTCCCTCTCCCTAAATACAGCCACATTGGAGTTTAGGGTTTCAACATATGAATGGAGGGGAAAGGGGAGGAAAGCTGTAGTTAATTTTTTTTTTCAATTATAGAACCAAACATTATAATCAAGTCTCCTTGGAATCCAGTTTGATAAAAATAGAAGTACCAATTCTATAGTCCAGAAAGACCCATAGTGAATTATCTTTCCATTCATTTTCTTTCCAGGCTTGAATCCACTGGCATCCGAAATGCACAGGAAATGCTATGGGAATGGTATCTGCAGACTTGAGTGCTCTACAAGTGAAATGTTAGTTGCCTACTGTATGTTTCAACTGGAATGCTGTGTCAAAGGAAACCCAGACCCCTAACAAGAGAAACCAGAGAATGCCAATGAACTTGAAAGTCCTCGACATCCTTTCCACCATCTTTCACACAGCAAGGGAATTTAGATTACTCTGTGACACTGTCATGTGCCCACAGCTGTGGGTTTTTAGCATTTTTTAAATAAGCCATCAGAATCTTAGGATTTTGTATTTGAAAAGATGAGCTGCTGCCTTCCTAAAGACAGCTAAGCTTCTCATGAAAACTTAGGATATATTTTATCACTTCCAAGTAATATCCATGTTCTTCTCAGTGCTGATTTCTCTCTTTCCTTGTAGAAAGGATGTCTTAATTATTTATAGAGGCCTCAAGTTACAGAAATATCTTTTTACACCTAGGCTTTACCCTTCCATTCCTTCAACTCCCCATTCACTTTCTGTTTGGACTGCACATCTTAGTGAAACAGATCTGCCCTAGGCCCTAATGACCTTGTATGCTTCTCACATAGACTGCATAGACAAGGCTTAACGGCAGGCTGGCCGAAGTCTTGACTGAGTTTGACCATGTAGTTCTTCTTGAAACACAGGGAAAAGGCCATGTTGTAATGGGCAGTCATGAAGCAGGTTCTCAGCCACCTCCCTGGTTTCAGGAAGTGAAAGCATGGGACTTTCCACCTCAACCTCCTTAGGTTCAGCTACAGGCTATCAGACCACTTGGCTATCATTTACAGTTGACTCCTCAGCAGCAAAAGGGCCCAACATCCCTGCTACCCATCATCTGGCCCCTTTGGTTGGGTTCATCCTGTGGCCCTAGGAGCTAACACTATGCAGATCTTGCTTTGCTGTGTATGTAAGTAATAAATTTTCTAAGTTCATTTGGACTCACCGTTTTCTTTCCCAGTCATCCTTATGAAGGTGTGGTAGGCAAACCTACAACTTCTTCTGTGGTGCTGCTTATCCTACTGACTAAAGCAATGCTACTGAATGTCTGCCTAACTGCTCAAAACCATCAACCTACATACAGATGCCTGAGTGTGGAGTTCTGCACATGCCGTTCAGCACAAAGGGTGCAGTAGCCAAGGGGGAGGATTCTGGGTGTGGAGCAATTTTCTTTAACTTTAGTGCTGAATCCAGCTTGGACTCTCTGGCAATTCTGAAAAGGTGGAGCTCTAGGTGCAAATCGCCAATTGCTGATCTGGTACATGGCTGAGGAAACAATGCTTAAGTCCTGGCTTAAAATGACAGTACTGTCTTTGGAAGAGATGAAAGGAAGATAGTAAATGGGAAAGATGAGGGGTTGTGAGAAGTCCTACCCTCCCAGGTGCTCTTCAGCCTTTGATGAAATCCAGTGTTGGTATCTTTAGGGAGGAAGATGTTAAAAATACAGTAGAGTGTGTCCTTCTCCCAGAGACCCAAACTCTCCTGTGGAGTCAGTAGGGGAGATGGTTTAAATGGAATGGCATTAGAGATGGCCTGGAATGGCAGTCATGGTTATTAAGCATCCAAAGTAAGGAACACATCCACACAGGGCCCAGGAAAACCCTCAGACTCTGAAGGAGGCAGGAGAGTCCTTACCTAAATGGCACTGAATCTTATGGAACTGTGACCTTATAACATCCAAGGAGCCTTAGGCTTGCTTCTCATTTTACTCTTTCACTTCAGATGTACATTCTCTATACACACAGATAAAGTGAAATTTGAAAGCAATTCAGTCTGCTATCTGAAGAACCTCTTTTTCCAACTGGGTGAAAGGACATTGTTCTCCCATCGGAGAGGGGATCCCCAAAACAACAGAAAAAACCTGAGCTCTCTCTGCTGGAACAACAGAAACTCTCTGGAATCTGGTTAAGCCTTGGACAAACAGAACTTCCCACTACTACAAAAAAATAAAGATGGATAGGCCAACACTACACTGCCTTTGTCTTACTGTTCCATAAGCCCAAACCTCTACATCCATATACCCTGTCAGGAAATGAACTCTGTTATTAAAAGTGGTAGCTGCAAACTGTTTTATTCTTTTGATACAAAGTGTGTATACTACACAAACAACCTCTAGCTTTTCTGGGCTCCTGTAAATATGGAACCTGAAAAGAAATTGGCTAACTACGACTAGTCTCTGTACATGGACACATCCAAAAGAAATTTAATTCTAAGATCAAAAGCCTTCTTTAAAATAATGTATTTACCAAACATCTCAGTAAAGCAACAAAATGTGGAAAGGTATTGTCACAAATTAGAGCAAACTTCCTTCAGAATTCTTTTCAGATACCACTCCCTGACATCCCACTCATCAGTGGCAAAACTGCACTCTCTAAAAATAATACATGGTTTCCATCAGTAGATGAATGGATAAAGAAGAAGTGGTGTGTGTGTGTGTGTGTGTGTGTGTGTGTGTATAGTACGTATACAATACATAGTAATATATAGTATATATAATGTATATACCACTTCTTTATACATATAAAATATATATGTCTGTATATTATTTCCATAGAAGAGACATTAAATTGCTTCTAAATAAAGAGAAACAAAGCAGACACAGAAACACAGACAGGCTAAACCATCGTTTTAATGGGATGGTACAACTGAGAAAGATCTGGGTCCCCAGAGGAAATCAGAAGGAGCCCCAGGTACTCAGATACTTATTTTCCAATCTGTATAGGTAAATACTTTTTGTCAATGCAGCACAGAAATGCACTATCACAAAAAATATGATATTCTTCCCTTTTTCCACATGACTTCCTGCAAACACCTTTGGATCGCCAGCATGTAGAAAAGACTCTTCTTATATACATATTCGGTCCACTTCTAACTGTCAACAGAAACAAGGGTTAACGCACAGTGTTCTGCAGGGTCATGGTACCATGGATAAATCAGATTAAATCAGATTATAATTTATAACTTTTTAATGGTAAATTGGGTGGAATCAAAACATCCCAGTCAAGTTATGGCTGAGTGCCTTCTTTTCAGTGGCTCTTATTTTTCGAAGAACCTATTATAAGTCATCAGTTCCCATGGTCCCCACTTACATGAATCACTAATTAACTATATGCAGGTACCAGGGCCCAGCACATTCAGCTTGGGACTCTTTGCCATGGAAAGAACCTCAGAGTAGTCCCAGGGGTCTGCAGAGGCCCTACACCAGGAGGCATGCTAGGGTCTGGGATAGTACCAAGGCAGTTTGAGATCATCAAAGTCTCAGCTTGAAGAATAAAAGATCACTGACCTGGAATTAGAGAAGCCCATGCTTCTAGCCCTGCATCCCAATAACATTGTGTGTGATTTTTAGCAAAGTACCTTTACTACCTGCCTTGGCTTAATCACCGGGTACTTGAAAGCATGACATGGGATAATGAGTGTGAAATGGTTTGAAATACCTGAAACCCATATCTAAATCTTTTGCTAGTATTTTTTTAACCCTAAGACCTGGGTACCTCTGGAAGCTAAGGGGTGAAGGAGGTTAGTAGGAAGGCAGTTTAAGAGGGTGAGGGTGGCTCTGAGTCACCCTACTGAGCTATCCATCAGTCTCTCCATTCAGCCGGTTCATGGAACCATCTATTGGGGCTTTGCAGTATGAGAATAATCAATGCGGTATGACCAAAGGCCACTGGCAAGCAAACTTGCCTGCCATGTGCCCGTTAGCCCTCAAGCACCCCTCTGTGGACAGCAGAGTCCAGCAGCAACACAGTGCACCACCCAGGACAGTGGCAGTCTCAACACAATCCTCACCTGGGCCTGTCTTTTGAGTACTTCACACTTGACCTTTAAGTGATAACTTTTCAGTATGAAGGTCTGGGTAGTTTTCTGCAGACCCCAGCAAACTACAGGCAAAAAAATAGTTTGAGAACTTCCACTTCAGTGACTTCAGTGGACCCTTCTTGGTATTATCAAGTTGCTAGTTTCTGTCCAGAGGATGTAAATTCGGAGCCCTCTCACAGATGTTCCCAAGGATCCCATCATGCTGTAAGTTAAAACTTTGGAGCAACCAGCTCTGTTTGTTAATTCTGCTCACCATAAAATTTGCTTAGGCTTCTCAGTGTGAGAAAAGTAATTCAGGTAACTGACTTAGGAGGGCAAATTCGAAGAGTCCTGAAGGAATGGTCCCCCTCCCACTCCCAGATCCCACCTGTCTTCTAAAGTTCTCATGCTTTTTCTTTTCCCCACGTCTGCCAATACCATTCGTCCAACTTTCCCCTCACACTTCACAGACTCCCCAGACCAAAATCCAGAACCATCTTCTTCACTGGAGAGAACCACTTCCTGCTATGTGTCCTTTAAGGGCATCTTCTCTCCATTTTCTGGAACAGCCCAAAGTGTCCATCTCTGATCACATCCCTTCCTGCTTCAGCTTCCTTCATCCAAGTCCTGCTTTCTTCTCAACCCCTCTCCCTTCACCGCTTATAATTGCATAGGGAGAATATTTCATTTTACCTGGTGGAACACAGGAGAGCAAGGCAAGGACCACAAGGGCCAAGAGCAAGCTCTTCATAGCTAAACCGATCAACAAAGAGACAGCTGGAAGGTAAGAGAGAGTCACTCTATTTGTAGCTTTCCAGCCACGGGGACCTGCATGGCTAGTGAACCTTTCAGGAACAAGAACATCTGCTTGCTCCACTGAGCAGTCCAATAAACTAAAAGTCTAACTTTGAACATGACATCTCACCATTAAAATCTTCTTCCTTAGTGCCACTTGCATGCTGGAGACCGAACTCACACTGTGTGGATAGTCCAAGTCCAGCCCTGGTAGGATGCTGTGTGAGTATCTTTGTATCTTCATTGTACATCCACTTAACAAGTGCCTATGGTGTGCAAAGAACTGTAAGGCTGCCTTACGTAGTTAACAAAATGTTTTCAGTAGTTTTTAACCTCTCTCTCTCTCTCTCCCTCACACACACACACACACACACACACACACACACAAGTAGATATTATTCTCCCATTTTAAAAGCAAATAACATGAGTTTCAGGTAGAGTAAATGACTTCCGCAGTTGACACAGATTGTATATGGCAACAACATAATTTTTCCTGACTCCTGCCTACAGAAGAATTAAAGTATGGCCCAGCCCAGTTCTAGTGTAGCCATAATCCATTTAGAGAACATAAGAGCTTCCCAAAGAGCATGGGCAAATCTCTCTAACACCACCAACATGAATCTGGAGATCACACTGCATGTTACCGCTCCCAGTAAGCACACCCTTTGTCCTGGGCAACGTGAGATACACAAAGAATTTACGATAGAATTCCTGCTTTGAGGTACTGACAGTCAACAGTGCTTGAAAGTTCACAAAGTGTTTTAAGCTTTACAAAAGCTCCATCTGATATTATACAAAGAGTATAGAACCCAGAATCAGAAATTTGAGTTCTGATCTGGATTCAGATTGATGAGCTTTTAATAAGGCACTTGCTTTACCTCTTCAAAGGGCAGTTTTCCCACCTATGAAGTAGATCGTACACCATCAGTGCTACTTATCCCAAAGGCTTGTTAGGAGTTCACATGAGGCAATTCTTGTGAAAAGTCCTTTATAAAATGTACATTTCTGGGACTGTTAGATCCATATAACAGAAGAAGACATTTGAAACTAGAGATGGTAGAGATAGTGCTTCTCCAAATAGTAAGCAGAAAAGCCAGGACAGGAACCAATTTTTCCATCACTCTGTCTCATGGTTTTTCACCATATACTCTGTGTGTGTGTGTGTGTGTGTGTGTGTGTGTGTGTGTGTGTGTGTACATATCACTTTACTGGACTATTGTTTTCAACTTCAAAAAGTTTGTGATGTGATTAAGATTATAGATCTATGGAAGACTCCTAAAAGGATTGCTAAGCAAAAAATCAATAAGTACAGAAAGAGTAGAAGACAGGAGGTTGGAAACCCCACAGGGGAATGATCAAGTGAGCACGAGAGTACTAAGGGACACTCTCCTGAGGATCACTTTCTAACCTGGAGCATTAGCTACAGCTAGATCTGCATTTTCTCACGCCATCTGTCTATTACCTCCTCTTATCCAACCAATCTGCCCAACATCTAACTTCACTCTTTCCACGGTGCCCTCCAGAATCTCAGTTCCTTCTACTTTACATCTCTCCCAACATACCCTTCCACCTCTGGGTCAGTGAAATACTGGGTTCTCCTCTGAGGACACTACTTCCTAGTAGCCTTTGGCAATGGGAGGCTATTCATCTGCTGAGGCTCCACATACCATGGGACAGGCAAGCAGCATTTCACAATCTCCTAAGAGTCCCATGTTATTTTCAGAACAATACCAGGCATGCGCCTGACACATCCTTTCCCTCACCTCACCCACACCAAATCTTACCAGTTCTCTTCTGACACACAGTTTACACCCAACCATTTCACTCCATCTCTGTTATCACCATCAATTCAAGACACCACCATGATTAAACTAATTAAACTAATTAAATACCTCCTCGCTGGTCTCGCATGTTATTTTGACATATTTACTATTCACCCTTCCTTCAGTAACCAGAATAACCTTTATAAAGGGTCATGAAATTGGGTTATGCATTTGCCCTGCATAAAACCTTTTATTGGCTTCCAATTGGACTAAAATAGAAAGTGCTTACATGGAGGACAAGGTCCACCCTGATCTGGACCCTGGTTGCCTCTCCCAGCCCAACTCCTTTCATTTGTCCACTCCCTTACTATCTTCCATGCTAATGGACTGCACTTTTTTCAAATATGCCTACCTAACAGCTTTTCAGGCATGTTATTCATACATCCTAGAAATCTGCATCAGCCTCCCCAATCTTCACCCATCATTTATTCAATTAAAGGGATGGTCTCAGCCTCTTCCACAGAATGAACTTTCTTCTACTTGACTACACACTACATGGACCTTGTATATTATATATACATGAAATTACATCAAACAAATCCAATTTTTTTTCTAGGATGCTGTATTAGGTTTCCAAGGACTGCCATAATGAAGTACTATGAACTGTGTGGCTTAAACAGCAGAAATGTATTGTCTCACAGTTCTGGAAGCTAGATGTCTGAAATCAAGACACGTGCAGGATTGGTTCTTTCTGAGGGCCGTGAGAGAAGGATCTGTTCCAGGCCCCTCTCCTAACTTCAGGTTGCCTCAGGCATTCCATGGCTTGTAGATGGTGTTCTCCGTGTCTTCACACTGTCTTCCCATTGTATGTGTCCATGTCTGTGTCCAATTTCGCCCTTCTCATAAAGATATAGTCATATTGGATTAGGGTCCACCCCAATGACCTCATCTTGACTTGATCATCTGCAGAGACCCTATTCCCAAATAAGGTCACATTCACAGGTACTGGAGGTTGGAATTTCAACATCTTTTGGAGGAACACAGTTCAATCCATATTAAGCCTTAACCTTCCATCTTTTTGAGTAATATCTACGACCCAAATGATATCACATCAAACAATTTTTTGAACACTAATTTTTATTTTTTCTTCCACCTCACTACACAGAAGAAAAGTCCTCCATAAAATTGCTTCTACTCCTGGATTTCTGAAAGCCAATGGAGAACATCACACAATCCTGCAGGCAGGTCAAGTTTAGAAATTAGATCATTCCTTTTACATATCCTACTCAAACTTAGATGTTCTTTGATCTTACCACCCACCACAGGTCCTCCTATCCTCATCAGATGATTTTTCTTTGTATTTCAGGAAAAAAATAGACATAAGAAGGTTTAAATCATCAAACTTTACACTGTTTTCTTACCCAACTCACCCAACAAGCAAGCATCTACCTATAAATGCATATGCACCTTTCCTCTTTTCTTTCCTCTTCCAAGGAATAAGTATCGATTCTCTTCCCCAAATCTTATCCTTCCCTCCATGCTGTTAGCGCATTCTCACCCATCTCTTAAGGTACATTGCTTTGTCATTAATTCCCTCTTTTAAAAAAATTAAAATAAAAATTTTTATTGTGAAATATACAACACATTTACAAAAACCCACAAAACAATTTAGAGTTTCACGAATTATTATAAGCTTAACTCCACAGTAAACACCACCAAGACCATAAAACAGAATTTTGCAACCACCCCAGAAACCACCTCTATATTCCCATCCTAATCATAATCCCCCCAGGTTACTATTACCCTGATTTTACTAAATTTCTTTATAGTTTTTTCAGCCAATTATGCCTCCTTACAAACTAGTTTCATCTTGCCCATTTTTTATTTAATTTTTTTGGTATCTTTTTATCTATGTGTTGTCCCTCCTAATCTCTTGAAATTTATCAATTGACAAGCTTTGGAATTTAATCTACAAAGTTACCCACAATCTGGATTTTGCTGCTTGCACACTCACTCATGGTGCAGTTTCACTTGTATGTTTGCCCTAATACTTTCTGAAAACTGGCAGATAGCTCCTGAGGTTTCATCAGATTCAATTTTAATAATTTTAGCAGGACTATAGGTTTTCTTGTGTCTTTTCATAAGAAGGCTCATAATATCTTGCCTCTCTTTTTGTGCTTTCAGTAACCATCGATACTCAAAGCCTAGATCCATTCATTCATCAAGGGTTGCAAAGGGTGATATTTTATTCCCGATGGCATTTTTACAGAAATAGAAAAAACAATCCTCAAATGTATATGAAACTGCAAAAACTTCTTTCTTTTTAAGATTTTATTTATTTATTTGCCAGAGAGACAGAGAGAGAGAGAGAGAGAGAGAGAGCACAAGCAAGGGGAGCAGAGGGAGAAGCAGTCTCCCCGCGGAGCAAGGAGCCTGAAGTGGGAGTTGACCCCAGGACCCTGGGATCATGACCTGAGCCAAAGGCAGATGCTTAACCGACTAAGCCACCCAGGCGTCCCTGTAAAAGACTTCTAATACCCGAAGGAATGCTGAAAAAGAACAAAACTGGAAGCATGTCACTTCCTGATTTCAAACTATTGCAGAGCTATAGTAATCAAAACAACATCGTACTGGCATAAAAACAAACACATGGATCAATGGAACAGGTTCAAAAGCTCAGAAATAAGCCCAGGCATACATGGGCAACTAATATTTGACAAGGAAGTCAAAATACTCAATTGAGAAAAGACATTCTCTTCAATAAATAGTAGTGGGAAAAAATGTATATTCACATGTAAAAAAATGAAACTAGACCCTTGCGCACTGACACAAAATTAACATGAAATGGATTAAAGACTTAAATGTAAGACCTGGAACCATAAAACTCCTAGGGAAAAAAAAATTTCTTCACATAGGTCTTGTCAATGATTTTTTGGATATGACATAAAACAAGCAAAAAAATAAAAAACAAGTAGAACTACTTCAAACTGAAAAGCTTCTGCAAACAAAATGAAAAGGCAACCCACAGAATGGAAAAAAATATTTGCAAATCACTGATCTGATGAGTTAATATCTAAAATAATAAGGAACTTCTATAACTCAATAGCAAAAAAAAAATCCAATGTAAAAATGGGCAATTTGCAACGACGTGGATGGAACTGGAGGGTGTTATGCTGAGCGAAATAAGTCAATC